AGCAATGGACAGAACAAGTAAATAAACAGTCAGTGTGTCTTATAAATCTGGCAATGGAAAGCAGAAGTGTGTAGTCACCACAGATGGGGAATGAGAACAAAAAATAGCAACACAGCAGATTAAGAAATTATTGCAGAAAACAAGAATTTTTTTGATGAATATCCAGGACCCCTATATATTAAGTCAGAGCTTGAAGGCTAGCAATATTCTGTGGATGTATGTCTACCACAGGGAACTCTAAGCACTGTGCCTTTGAACTTGAGAAACCAATACAGAGCTTCCTACAGCTGGGTGCAGAATGACTGAGAATTTGCAAAAAAGTCTAACACAAAAGATGAGAAGCGAATTAGAGCCATAACACTTTGCTTAATGTAAAGTGAAGAACTCTACGCTCACAGCAAAGCCAGGGTTTCCCATCCCATGTAAACAGCAGGGGGAATTTAAAGCTGGCACCCCTCTTTGGGGTTAATTCAACTGCAGTGACACTACCAAAATAAACACATAAGCCAGACTCAACTTAACTTGCCAGCACTGCTCACAGACAGAGCAAATAGAATGGATCCCAGACTTGTTTGGGTTGGAAGGGACCTTAAAGCTCATCCATTTCCAACCCCCTGCCATGGGCAGGGACACCTTCCACTAGAGCAGATTGCTCCAAGCCCCTGTGTCCAACCTGGCCTTGAACACTGCCAGGGATGGGGCAGCCCCAGCTTCTCTGGGCACCCTGTGCCAGCGCCTCAGCGCCCTCACAGGGAAGAGCTTCTGCCTATTACCTAAATTAAATCTCCCCTCTTTCAGTCTAAAGCCATTTCCCCTTGTCCTGTCACTACCTGCCCTTGTCAAAAGCCCCTCTCCAGATTTCTTGTGGGCCCCTTCAGGCACTGGAGCTGCTCTAAGGTCTCCCTGGGGCCTTCTCTTCTCCAGGCTGAACAACCTCAGCTCTTTTAGCCTCTCTCCATAGGAGGGTTTATAATCCCAACAGAGAATTTCACAGAGTTCAGAGAAGCATATTTCAATTTTACGTAACAGGAGCTATATTTAGGAAAGATGCTGTTTCCACTTACCCTCAAGGAGAAGCAGCATTAACAAGACATGGAAAATCTCTGCAAGACTTAGTGCTGCTTCTGGTTGGTTTTCAAGACACAGCTCTTCTGGTCTCCTGCAGTTAGCATTCATCAGGTGAAGTTCCTCAGCCCCTTACTCACCTCTTTCAGCATTTAAACAAATATCAGTAAGTAATGCCCCAGGTGAAGTGGCAAGATGCCAGATGGTTTCCAAGAAATGGTAATTTAACATGATTTTAACAATACTGACAAATTTCCTCCCTGAAAGAGAGCCCCAGACAAGAATCCCAAGCAAAATAAACCCCCAATAGACATGGTCCAAAGAACAGCCCCAGCACATTTTGTGTAAGTTTCAATAATTCAACTAGAGGCAGTCCTGTTGCATGTCCCCCAGCATTCTCCACTGCATCAGATATTCCTCCAGCCTTTTTACCTTCCCCAGAGCACAGCTCTCAAGCTAAGGGGGAATACCTGAAATCACTGCATGGAACAGGATAGAAAAGGAAGGCCTTTGGCCTCTTGGGATTCACAGGTCAATACTAAACATTTCCATTTCCATTTCCATTTCCAAAGCCTGCAGACAGCCAGGACCTAGTACATGGGAGTAATTGGGCACTCATTTACCCAGCCACTGCTGACCCACACAGGTGATTTATATTCCAAATAGATTGATGAGGTCATCACAAACAAATTAACTCAAGGAGACACAGGCAGGAATTAAGTGGTAAAGAAAAACAAGATTGGGTTAATTAAAATCAAATAACTAAATTTTGGAAACCTATATGTAAAACAGGAGCAAACCAGGAAAAACAAAATCAGTATTGCATTTTTATGTATAAACTATTGCAGAGAGAGATGGATTGCCATCCTTCTAGATTTTAACCTGCAGAATAGAAGAACATCAGTTGACAGAAGCTGTTGTTCTGCACGCTTGGGCATCTTTTTTGTGGGAAATAATCCTCCCTCCAAAGAGAAATGGACTTGAGATTTATTTGCAAAATAGTTGTAAAGCTCTGGAAATCCTGAACTAAAAGGTACTAAAGGAACCAACCACTAGATATCACCATTTGACTATTTAATAGATAGCAGAATAATTGTTATCGTTGATCTGGCATGTAAAAATCCCTACTAGCCAGGTAGATTGAATCACCTTCTATAGGGGCTTATTTCCCATGACAGAGCAGGCTGTCCTAACTATAGGTCTTGCTTAATTGGGTAGATTTAACTGAAGAGCCGAGTTTAGTGCAGTGTCCTCATCCCACTACCTGACAAATATTTCTCCATAAGGATATGAGATGGCAACTGGATACAAAAGCAAGAATTGCCTGCCAGCATTTCTCCTTTGATTTCAGATTTTCTGGCACGTGGATGGAAAGAACCACCAGCCAGAATCTGGCCTTCTGTGTCCGACCTGTAAAGCACAGCACTGCATTCATCTGTAACAGAATACACCTGCTGTCCTCCAGCAGTCTGGAAGAGCATGCCTTGGAAGTGGCTTTCCCTATGTAAGTTGAGCTCACTGAGCCATTTTTCCTGCTGGTGACAATGGGTGCAGTTCCAGTGCAGCTGATGGAGTTCTACTCAAAGTCACAATGGGAGTCAGTACCTTTCAAATATAAATAAATCCAAATCATGCCATGGATTGAAACATGTCCACCTAAATTAAACTGACATAAAAATAGTATCTAACTGTGTAATAAATGTATTTGCTCCATCTTGCCAGAAATTACCAGACTTTGCTCCTAAAATGTATTCTGCAGCAACATACATGATACTTTTCCATGGGCAAAACTGCACAGCAGCAATAAAAATTAAGTCTGTGGTGCTTTACATTAGCATTGATCTACATCCTCATTTGCACTGCTAAAATGTGTGTTATCGAGCTACACAGCTACATCAAGTCCTAAAAATTCATTTTCCCTTTTCCTCCTCCAAACTGTTACTTAAAATTCTAAAAACTAAGTCATCTTATGTTTTTCTATTAGAAGAACTAAACTATTATCCTTACCTAGAAGAACTAAGTATTATCGTTACAGGTGCTAGACACATCCTCACTTCATCCACATCCATAATACGGCTGGTGTTGGTATAGCTGCCATCATGAACTCTGTAACATGCTCCTCACCTCCATCAGGTTGTAATACATGCTACAGTTAGGAGAACAGCCTGTGTCTGTAGTCTTTATTATAATGCTGCTTGTGGTGGTGTGTTTTCTTTTTGTTCTAGCTAAAATTGTCCATATATTTGATAAAACTACTTAAAAACTGGGCTCCGAAACCCATCCTGAAATAGTACGGGATTGACACAGATTGACAGCGACCACGGGTTCTGCCACACACAGAATATTCATTCCCACTCTTCCACTGTGCCTTTATTTACAGGCGATGGGAGAAGCAGAAACATCAGCAGCATCTATGAACATCAGTGCTGAAACCACAGTTGGCTTCGATACACAGGGCCAGGACTCAGAGATGAGCAGGAGAGAATAGGTCTCCTTTCATGCGCTTCTCAGGGCTGGGAAGGACAGAAAAATGACCATAGTCTAAACCCCAGCTGTAACTCTGACTTCCACATTTCCTGAGGAAGAACCCTGTGCAATTAACTTCTTTCAAGACTTCAGTTTGAACTATAAATATACCCCAGGGGAAATCAAAGGCAAGGGCAAGGCAGCACAAATGCCACGGAGCACTTTTTTTCCATGGTTAATTGCAAACCCTTTGGCTACTGACACCCTCTGGAATATTTTTCCTCTCACCTTCAGTTAACTTATTCTCTGCATCTCTACCAAGGAAGACTTCGGTGTGCTGTCCACTCCAAATTCCTCCAGATTCAATGCAATCCCTCAGCCTCTTCCAAAGGACTCCTGACTCGGTTTTGAATGCTGAGAAGGAATCAGGGCAATGCCCTCTTAGAAAAGTATTACTCACTTCTTAAATGTCACTCACATTCCTTACACCACCAAGGCCAATGGGCATTTCTGACCCAGCAGGGACGGTCACTTCAGTCGTGGACATGTATGAGTCTGATTTAATGTAATTATTTTATTTGCTGCATGCTTAGCAGGAATTGGTTTTGCCTGTCACTTGCAGTCATCTTACATTGCTGAGGGTGCAGGTGCTTCATTTCCAGGGAGATAAAAGCAGAGTCCATTTACTAAAAACACAAGTAGAACACAAACCAATGGTGTACTGACAGAAAGCTGCACAAGTTTCATCAGGGAGGTAAGGATTTATTTAAAAGAAAACCATTTTTTAAAGAAAATTATACACTTTTATAATCTTGATCAACTGTCACCCAGATTTTCATTGTAACATACTCCACCTACGCAGTACAAACATACATTTGCAATAATATTAGTGTCTTCATTCATGTACTGCGTCAATATATTTCCTATGTATGATACACACAAAATAATCCCAGAGTCCTGCACACGTCTGTCTGCTGAGGTTTTTAAACCAAGGAAACATTTTTCACTGTGATCAAGCTTTGCAGGAGCACAATTTGAACCCAATACTTCAAACTTGGTTTTCAACTACATAGTTCAGTCCAGCAAAGCCAGCCTGACTCTTTCACTATCTGGCTGGGTGGGTCAGTCTCTCAGAGGAAAGTTTTACCAGCCATGTCTCAATTGATTTTTCTCTCTTGCAGGAGGAAATCTGATGGTACGTGACTACTCATACAGACACTTAGGAGGACATATACAATATGAAAATACGGTTGACTAGTATTTTAGAGAGAAAATAATTTCAAATTCTATATTAGGAAAAAAGAAAACAGTGACATTTACTTCCTCCACTACTAAAGTGTGGTTTAAGCCTTAATATATTCATTTGAAAAGTCTGTAGTGTGTAAAAGTCTTCATTTCCCAACCTAATCCTTAGAGTGAAATATTCGTATCCAAACCATATTCACCTCCTCTCCAGCTAAGTTGATCAGTCACGATGTAAACTGCATCCTGCAGCTCTTTCTCGTGCAAGCTGGGTTTGAGATTTGTAAGTTTGGAGTACTGAATTCAGAGCTATTTCTATGGGCAGTGTTGCACAAACTAAACAAAGCTAAAGAGTGCAAGAGCACTTCTCTGGCTTTTGATGTTTCGATATTCTGCTCCTGTGACAGCTGACAGCTTATCTGAGTCAGGTTATTCCTTATCCAGCTGCAGGTGAGGAGGTTTGTTACAGAGCCACATCTGGTCAGGTTCTCTTCAAAAACTTCTTTGTAGAGCTCTGCCACTTTTGTTTCCATGTACCTGTTGAGCACGGAGTTTGAAAGGGGCTCCTTATAGAGCACAATGCTCCTTTCCCCAGCTTCATCTCCAGACAGAGACTTCACACTTGGTTTTTCGGGATGCTCACACAGAGGGGACTGACCTAGAGGGATATCTGCAGACAGTAAAACAGGGCCATCGGGAAGTTCATCCCACACATGGTCCAAAACACAACCTGAATCACACGCATGGTCCCTCACGTGGTCTCCCCCAATATGCAGGTCAGGGTAGTTTTGGTAAATGCTGTTGCACAACCAGGACCTGTACAAGTACACCTGATCAGTATCCTGTTCTCTTCTGGGGATATGTAAAGCCGGTGACACAGTTCCTTTAACAAGCACTTTCTGTTCTTTTGCAGGTTCCTTTTCTACAGATCTCTGCTGAGGACTGCTCCTGTGTTCCTTTTTGCTATTTCCAGCAGAGATCTCATCCTGCTTCTCATGTCCATCAGCAAAGCCTCTGATTTTTGGGTTGTCTACAAGTTTCTGTCTCCAGATTCCCTCTTTATCCTTTCTGGATGCATGAGATTTGTGAGGCTTATCTTGATGACAGCTTTCTTTATATATGAGTCTAGTTAAGATGCCTTCTGCCAACATGACGACGAGTGTGAGCAACAGCCTGATCAGCAGAGTTCCATGTAGTCCTGTGAGTGACAGAGTAACTCAACCTTATCTGGACAAAGAGGAATAATAATAAAAAAATCACAATGTGCTTTTCATAAAGACTGTGATTTTTTTTCTCTCTCCAAAATATTTACTCTTAGCAAACTGCATGCTTTTCTATAATTTCAACCTCTACACCATGTCAGCAAGTGTCAGTCAGTAGGTATAGGAAGGACATTAAGTGGGTTCTTCATCTGTAATATGACTTCTGTTCCTAGTAACCTCTGCATTGTGGCTAGTTGATCCACATATGAGCTGTAAAAATCAACAAAATTATTTTAGTTGTCTGTATCACTACCATCAGTTACAAATCGTTTTCCACTGAAAGACTTGTTGGGGAAGTCCAGAGGAGGGCCTTGAGGACGATAAGGGGGCTGAAGCATCTCCCATATGAAGACAGGCTGAGAAAGTTGGGGCTGTTCAGCCCGAAGAACAGAAGCTGCGTGGAGACCTCAGAGCAGCCTTCCAGTATCTGAAGGGGGCCTATAAGGATGCTGGGGAGGGACTCTTCATTAGGGACTGTAGCAACAGAACAAGGGGTGATGGGTTCAGACTTAAACAGAGGAAGTTCAGGTTAGATATGATGAAAAAGTTCTTTACAGTGAGGGTGGTGAGGCACCGGAATGGGTTGCCCAAGGAAGTTGTGAATGCTCCATCCCTGGCGGTGTTCAAGGGCAGGTGGGATGTGGTCTTGGGTGACATGGTTTTGTGTGAGGTGTCCCAACCCTAACTATTCTATGATTCTATGACAACAAGTTCCAAGAGCTGAAGTAGTGACATAGGAAGGAAATAAACATCCAGGTCAGACTTTGAGGTTGATTCTGGATTGGCCTGAGCCCTACCGTGTTGCCAAGGACCTTCAAAAGATGCTGATAGTTCAAATACAATAAAACTGCATCCAACATGAGTTCCTCTTAATAATGATTTTAAAAGATAGATACTAATTTGTCTTCCCCAATAGTGATGAGTAGTCTGCTTGTGTATCTATAGGCTCCACAGTTTTACTAAATGCATATGAATAATTATAAGCTGGCCAGTATGTCTCAAAATAATCTACTGTGTTTAACAATTCTTTATCATTCCTTTAAAATTCATCTACTGTTAAGATCAGTGGGAATCTTCCCACTTAGTGCCAAGTCTGACCTAAACTCACTAAGGGAAAGATCTCCAGCACTCCTCTTATGGAGGTATGGGAAAGATCAACACAAGAAAATCTGCCTGTTCCTCAAATGCATTTTTAATCTCTGCATAATTCAAGTACGTTTACATGCCTTTAGTGTGCTAACGGTTTGAAATAGGGGGCAGAGGCAAGGGGTGAGGCAGCTTTATTGCAGAGTACGTAGCAAGTCTCCCACAGGACATGACACACTGGCATGCTGTTGAGAATGCACCCAAACTCTACTTGCATCACAGACAACTAAGGCTCAATACTTTTCACAAGGCTGGCACTTTCTATCAGTAGTGATGCCATGCAAGTCACTATTTAGCCCTCTGTACCAATGAAACCATTGCAGATTTAGTATATTTGATATATAACTAGAAAGATCCTCCTCACTTTACTCATTTGCTTCTATCAGCCACCAAACTTGATCCACTGGGTCACTCTTTTTAATCCCAGTACTCCTTCCAGAAAGCTGTTCTACAACTCCAGTTACTTGAGAGATGGAAATTCTTTATTTCCCTCCTGTTAGCACATGACAACCATTTGCTTTTTGATTTTTCAGGGTTGTATTTTGGCTGGAAAGGTGCTGTTCCCCCCCTGAAGCTGAAGGTAACACTGGAATTGCAGTATGCCTGCAAGTGAAGCAGTACACCTGGTTACATTAGCACAACCGTTTATTTCACCTGCAGAATCACTGACATATGTTTCATGTGCCCTTGAAAAACTGGGACGTAGGTACCCAGATCCTTACATGCTAAAAAATGTTACTGTATTTCTTTGAAAATGGTCATAGTGTTAATGTAGAGCTAAAATATGGGCACCTTAGCAAAACTGCTCTCTTTAAGTAAAGCAAATGGTGCCTGCATTCTGAACAGAGTAAGGAAAAAGGCCACAAAAAGCCCAGACTTACCAAACCTTGTCGGGTAAGGGAGGTGGATGGTCACATAGCCCAGAACTCTCTACTACAGCAGCTGCACAAGAACAGATTCTTACATACCCTTTCTTCACTGCTGTCTTTGTGGAAAAAAACTGAACACATGATTTAGTTCCCCATTTTTTTTCCCTTTAAAACAGAAGTGATCCCACTGGAAAAGGGCACGGTTTTTGAATACCAAGTGACAGCACATCTAAAAGACGATGTTAAAAAAATGAATTGAGATGTTTCTGACTATGGTGCAATGCTGATGAATTGATAACTGCCACAGTACATCACCTAAAATCAACTAAGTCCTCTGAAGGATCAGCATGCCTGATTTCACCCAGCTGTTAAAAACCAAAACTGAATTTCACCCAACACCTCCATCTACAGAAGTTCAGTTTCGTGCTGTCACCAGCTGACTTGCAGAGGCGGTGATATTTACATTTCCCCTTTTGAAACAAAGAGCCAGATTTAGAGTCTTGTGACCTTATTCTGATGGGGAAGAAGTTGAAAACTTCATCAAAATGCTGAATGAACTATAGCAGCATGCAAAGTCCCTCAATTCAGCCTATGCCTTTGATACCTATAAACGTGAAAGAGAAGTTCACTACATTTTTTTTCCCAGGCCCAGCTGTTGAAACTCTTTTATTTTCCATTTAAACCAGAACTATTTCATTTTAAAAAAACACAACTTCTTCGAGTTTTCAAATACCTTCTCCCACAGCAACTCCTTATTTACCCCAACCCGAGTTCTAGCTTTCCGGGGATGCCTCTCCTGCCGGGTGTAAGGACACAGAGGCGCAGCAGCCTTCCGGCTCCACGAACACGGGTTCGCTCCTAGGCGGCCTTTTCCAGCCGAACGGCACTCATGGGGCTAGGATGCGCGTTTTAAACCCCAAAAAGCACAGTTTAGACCACAAGAAGACACGTTCCAGCGCCCGGCGGCGGGCGGGCACACGGAGCAAAGGTGGCCGGACCAGAGCGGGGCTCGTCCGTAGCCCGCAGCGGACACCAAGGGCCAGCCCCCGAGCC